CCCCCAAGGCTGAAAGGGCGAGAATGTTTGGTGTGACGGAGATTCGAATTCGCGACCCACAGATTGCGAGTCGAGTGCCCTAACCACCTGGCCATGCCGGGCCCCAATCACTCTGAGAAAAATATATTATTATTTAGTCAGCGTTTTGGCCAAATGACCTTCATAGGGAACCAGTGAAGGTCGTTTGGCCAAAAACATTGACCACATAAAATTTTATTTCTTACAGCGAGTTTTACTTTTTTTTCTATTCATATTGCAAGTATTATACAATTAGGAGTTTCCTGTAATCCTGCCCTCTGGTTGCTCAGCGGTAAGTCAGAGGGTTTATAGGGCCAAAAAACGGGTTTCGATATTCGCGGTGGGCAGAGCACAGACACCCATTGTGTAGTTTTGTGCTTAACAACAAACAAACAAACCTGTGATCATTCGCTATAAATGCAATGAAGCGTCGAAACATTTGAAAGATTTAAATCCACCAAGAAACGAACTATCAGTTTAAAGTTGTAAAAGTTTAGACCTGTGCGTCATTAACTTGCACGTTGCTCTGTACTGTAAGAGATAGAATTGTTCCTGATCTCCAGGAGTAATAACTTGTTTTCCTTCTGTTTAAAACATATTAATCACAAAACAATGCCTACTTTTCCAAATTTTCCTAATTTCTGACTCATCTTCTTCTATGAACTTTTGTTTGCCTTCCCCTCTTTTTTTTAAGTTATAAGACATTTTATAATTACCACGAAGCTTCTTCCCTTGCCAACGTGATTACTATGTGATGTGTTTTAAGCGTTTTCTGTTACTCGTGTTGAGTGACTGCTTCTTCTACTTCTTTGTTGTTTTTTTTCGCCTTTGTTTATTTTAACAGGAACATTTTTAACATAAGTTTCCATTGTTACCACTCAGTGAATTTCAATGACAGTCAGCGTATATCGTATTATATGACAGGAATGGTCTTCCATGTTTTGTGGTGTTAGCATAGAGAAATCACCAACAGTCAACCAACGCCTAACAGTGAAGTTGTTTGGAAATTATCATCTATCTTTTTTTCCATTGCAGCATTAGGCAACCACGTGAAGTTGCAACACATTTCAGCTAACAAAAACGAGCGACAGTGTCGGCCTGAACGGAAAACAGCAATGTTTTTGCTTCCATAAAATTTACTGAGATAATTATAAGATTAATTTATTTATTCTTAAAATTACTATTAACATCGTAGGTTTCGTAAATAAGTCTGATTTATTGCAATATTAAGGATATGCGTTTTATCTCATCACCTGAAATAGGATCAGAGTAACACATTCCCAAACTAACACAAGTATAATTTCCAGTTGTCTTTCTTCCATTTACAATAAAATCTGATTTGCAGGTCGGTGGGAGAAGTGGGATTAAAACTGGATGCATATCATAGATTAAACGGCCACGACATCTTATGCATATGATGGGTTAATCGGCCATGTCAGAGATTCCTATGGCTCAGGTACATCCGTCCCTAATCTTGAACTGTGAACCAGAGGGAAATAAACTAGTTGGTAGCACTCGCCGCTTAAAGCGGCTACTCTTAACTAAATGTCGGGATTCACTGTCATTCTTATAACACATTCCACAGCTGGAAATGTGAAGCGTGTTTTGCAAATCTGTTACAGTTTTAGAATGATGAAATCATAAGTTCAACCTCCAAATCAAAATACATTCGTAATATATCTAAGTGAACAATGTATAACTTCCATAAAAATACATTCGTAATATATCTAAGTGAACAATGTATAACTTCCATAAGAATACATTCGTAATATATCTAAGTGAACAATGTATAACTTCCATAAAAATACTTTCGTAATATATCTAAGTGAACAATGTATAACTTCCATAAAAATACATTCGTAATATATCTAAGTGAACAATGTATAAGTTCCATAAAAATACATTCGTAATATATCTAAGTGAACAATGTATAAGTTCCATAAAAATACATTTGTAATATACCTAAGTGAACAATGTATAACTTCCATAAAAATACATTTGTAATATACCTAAGTGAACAATGTATAACTTCCATAAAAATACATTCGTAATATACCTAAGTGAACAATGTATAAGTTCCATAAAAATACATTCGTAATATACCTAAGTGAACAATGTATAAGTTCCATAAAAATACATTTTTCTAGTCACCTGATGGTCGTGAAACTAAAAGTTATAAGAATTATGAACAATCTACAATCTAAAAAGTAATTTTAAATTCTATTATTTAATCAACTTTTCTTTAATTTCATTTATTACCAAAAACAATAACGAACCTAATAAATCTATAAGAAGAAGAAAATATGACTAATGTAATTTAGTGTATTTTAATGAACGAAATCATCCACCGATTGTGATAAACGTTGTCAGTCTTTAAGAGTAAATGATCTACAGTAACAATTCTGGTTCAGTAAATTGTTTTACACCAGGAAAGTTTGAGAATTATTTTAGGTTTATAAAAGAAAAATACTGCAAGATGATTTTAAATATTTTAGAGGGCTGATGGTTTCAAAGAAATTGTATTTTAAGCTTCTACATACTTATGCTATTTTGAAAACATTTAAAGTCTTATAGAAGAAGTTGATGCTAATATAGAAATAAGTATTTGGGTAGAATGACTGAGTATAATTGTAGTATTAGGTTGCACCATCAGTTGTTGTTTGTAATTAAGCACAAAGCTACACAATGGGCTATCTGGTATCGAAACCCGGATTCTAGCGTTGTAAGTCCGCAGACATACCGCTGTGCCACTGGGAGGATGCACCATCAGTGCAGTAACAAAGATTAAACGCACTAAATGTAAAAACGCAGCTTCAAGATTTCCTCGAATTAAAAGCTATTATTATACAATTGCTACAAATCTGGGATAAATGTTTGTGTACTGTGCTAAGTATTTCTCAAACATCTCAAACTAAGTCACTAATTAAAATACTGCAATTAAGAAATACTTGTTTTTTGATCCACCCCTAGAGGAATAAATAGGTACCAACATAACAGAAATCTTCTTTTTACTAATAACTATTCCGCCATAATCTATAACTTAGAGGTCAAATAGAAATGTTTAGTGCTTCGGTTATTTTTTATAACTTTTGCATCATCTCAAAAAAAAATCAACTGTGTGTATGCCCGTGTTTCTTTTGTCGACTGAATATTTGGTTAGTTTTCTAGTTCTCATCTTTAGGAAGCGTTCTTTCATTTATTGTGAGGGTCTTTCTTGGAGCAATGATCTTCCAAAAGATAGGTTTTGTTGCATCTTTCGTTAATTAAACCCTTTTATGTGTTTTTTACGTATAAGTGTGCTCAAGTGAATCAAACAAATCAATAGACTGAAACCTTACCTATCTTTCCGTTGGTATTGTTATCGTTAAGAGCTCCAAAAGCAATTGTAGGAAGAAGGCAAGCAAAGTACAAGAAGAATGTTGTTGACACTGTCTTATGGATTGTCTTATGGCCTCTCACTCCTAAAAATTGAAGAAGAATCTTCTTTTAAAAACTTTCAAAACAAGCATCTTACAGTCACTATTGGAAACTAACAAAGCTCATAACATAGAAAACATTGTAAACTTAGATAATGCTTATTTTCATATACTCATATTACAGAAACCACAGCTACATTGTAACAATAAAGACTTCATGCGTTAGTTACTAATTATATTTTCAGTGTATTTGTTGTCGTTAACAGGCAGATTAACAAAGTTGGTTTTAAACCAATACGAAGCAAAAGAACAAGCCATGATAAATTAATTCCGTTTTTTTTTACTTACCATCAGTAAAATCACTGAGATAATGAGAAGCTCTTCTGTGCATATCATCCCATAATCCTTTAGCAAACCAACACTTGCGACTGGACTATATGTAGGCAAAAGAAAATTAGTTAAGCATACTCTCAAGATATACTTCTAACAAAAAAAGTGAAAAGGATGTGGTAAAAACTCATTAATAACATGTCTTTATCACCGTTCAAAATCGTAACTGATTTATCATTTAACTGATTGCGAATTGCCCAGCGAGTTTCTTGGAATTGTTATAATAAAAAACCATTGCTACTGGATGGGTTAAGCTAAAGAACATTGTGTTGTATAATATTATTGAAAGACAAAGTACTGTTGGTTGACTGCATTGAGTTATTAGATATAGCTTCCAGAATGAAAACTGACTGATCATCGAATAATAATAAGACGTTTAACATGAGGAAAACATATTGTTATCGAATGAAGATATAGGAACTCAATTTTCTTCTATTATTTTGTAACTGGTAATTTGGTTGATATTACATCTGCAGATCTTGCTTCGCCAGTCTAGGCATTCTACATCATAAGACATGGTGTTTTGTGAATGTCTGATATAAATAGAGTTTCAACTTGGGATATGTGTGTGGAAAAAATGGCCGACCTATTATATATTCTTCTTACTGGAAACCTGTATAGAATTAGTAAAGAAATGTGGGATTAAAATTGTAATGTTACTGCAATGTTACATCTTCAACAGATTATGCTTCGCCAGTATAGGCGCGATGCACCACAAAACATCATAGTGTTAAACTACTAAAACAAGTTTGCATCCATTATTCAGCTTGACACCAGGAACATTAAAAAAATACATTAATTATGGGAACTAGTGATATAGGTATTAAAGCACATAATAGCTTAATTAGTTCAACTTTAAATTATTTTTTTAATTGTTCAAATATAGAATATTCAATCTCATATAATAGATTAAATGAATCAATAGGCTACGTGGTAGCACTTACGAAAGAAAAATATTTTGTTATTAGTCAAGACTTTACATTATTTATCCTCGTTTGTATGCAGCTGAAAAAATATTGACATTTTGTTGCTGATGAAATGTGAGTATATTATCGAAACCTGTATCAACTAAGTGTTTATAAGAAAAATTATTTTCGATTTCTTCTCTAAAAGGAAGAACTATTTCTGAACTCTTATATCACAAAATTTTCTAAAGAAGTTTACACTTCTCCAAATGTAAGAAGTGGGCTTAATCATTACAAACACACACACACACACACACATTTTAGTCCAAACAGAAAGTACGCGTGACTTTTTTTAAAGAAAGTCAGCTTGATCTGTGATAAGAGATAGAAAATAGCCGATTTCAAGGTAAACATTATTCAGAAGGTCTCTATTCCAGAAGATATTTGCCTCAGGAACGACACGTATTGGTCCCAGTGATGTTCTGCGAAGTTGAATTCATAAGTCCGTTGGCTAAGGCTTCAAAACTGCTGACTAGTGCAATAACGTCTAGTCAAGCCTGAACCATACAATGTTCGATTTTTGCTGTATTTCGTTTCGTTTTGCCAGTTATCTTCTGGCGTATTATTCCACTAACCAAGCTGAGCTAGAAGCTATAAAATCAGCAAGAATGAAAAAAAATGAAGAAAGAGGAGAGGAGGTGACAAAGTGAGTAAAGAATGGAAAAGATGGATAAACAGCTAGTTGGTGATGGAAAACCAGGAAAGGTAAAGGAACTTTTATAAAGAGAGAGAAAGAGAACAATATTAAACCATAAAATAGAAATTATGAGAGATGGATAGAAATTATGCAATCCTAATATAATGTTCAAAATTTGATTTCGAAAAATTACCTGACAACTGTAAATGACATATATATATATATATATCAGTTATTTAAAATAAAAAGCATCAATTTAACTAATTTGTTGAATATATATATATATAAAGTACTTGTTGACTGTCTGTAAATCCTATCTACATTTAAATCAATCGATAGAAAAATGATTTATAGAGTGGCTTTAGCTGACACCTAAACTTAATACGAAGTCTAACCAGCTTCCAGAAAGAATGAAATTGTGGAAAATAAAAAACGAGAGGAGAAACAGAGAGAGATGATGATGAAAATTAGAAGGAAAATATAAAAGGACAGTCAAAAAGAATTTGTCTGTTTGTTTAAATTTCGCGCAAAGCTACTCGAATGCTATCTGCATCTGCGCTAGCTGTCCCTAATTTAGAAGCGATAGACTAGACGGAAATTAGTTCATCAATACCACCTACCATCAACTCTTGAACTACTCTTTACGAAAGAATACTGGGATTGACTGTCGCATTATAGCATCCTATGGCAGAAAGGTTGAGCATGTTCGGTGAGAGGGATTCAAACCAGCGACCACCAGTATGCGAGTCGAATGCCCTAACCACCAGGCCATGCTAGGCCTAACAAAAAGGAAAGAGGTTAAAAATGAGAAAAGAAATGGAGGGAAAATGGGGAAACGTTCAATTTAGAAAAAGAAGAAGAATATGAAGAGCAGAAAATGATAGGAGGCTAAACATTTGGAAAAAAAAGATATGTCAAGCAAATAGAAAAAATCAGCGCATTGTAAATAGAGAATGAATAAAAGGGGCAACGAAACAGAAAAGTGAATGCAAATAAATAAAGGAAGTGAGCTCAAGTGTAGGAAAAATAAAGATGGCAGAATGAAAAAAAGTAATGTTTAAACATCAAAGCTTTGCCTTGAAGTATGTATTTACTTTAGGAAACGTTTCTATAAGGATCAAAAGCACCAACCTCAATAGGTTAAGCGATATAAGATTGTTAGTCATTTGCTATAGTCATGAAACCACAAAGAAAAAAATCGGGAAAAAGCAAAAATAGAAATTTTCTAATATAACTTGTAAAGAAATGCATAATGTAATGAAATGACAGGTTCTTTTTATTTTCCTATAGACAATGTAGATTGAAAAGTTCATTGTTAGTTCTGAATACATTTAAAGTTTTTTAACTTTATATTAAACACATTTGATGAAAGAGGAAATATAAACCAGAGCCGACCAAGTTTTACCGTACAACAGAGAGTCACATAGATTTCATTCAGCGTACTGTAAATAATTATAAGACCTGCACAGATAATGTTACCTAAATGATCATTCATTTAACCCTACGGCAAGGCTTCGAAATTTGTAACATAGCACTAATAACATATGGTTAGAGTTTCTGGAATGTAAAAATTACATTTAATTATGATCAAAGTAAACAGTTTATAGCGGTAGTGCATCAGTAGTCTCTGGGCGCTTCCCAACAGCAACGAGTTCACACACGTGGAAACTCCGCACGACCAGAAACGTACTTTGAGCATAATCATCATTGTTATAAATTAATAGTGTAAATATATTGAGATATTGAAATGCTCTCTTAAACACTAAATACATGCTAATTTTAAGCGTTTTTTTTTTGTAATATCGTCTGCTTTTGTAAATAATTTTGTAAACTGTTTTCAATAAAATTCCACCAAGTTCATTGAACTCACCATTTACATATTGAACTGGTGATTTTGTTTCAGTAATACTACGTTATTTCACAAATAACGTTTTAATAAATTAAGAGCAGCTTTTAAACAATTTATTGTATTTTCATTCAGTAAGTGTTTCTTTTATGAAATACGTGGTTTTCAACTCAAACACAAACTTGGTCCATTTACTTATGTATTACACTCATAGTTTGAGTTAACAAACCGACATATTATTTTTAATGTCATCTTAATGCAAATAAATACAAGTAAACGACTTGTTTTTCTGCCTTTTTTGTAACTCGACGTGTGTCTGTGTGATTTGAATTACACGAGACTCTTTAAGAAAATCAGCCATTCTTTCTCAGTTAATTTTGCCTAAGTTTTATACCACGTAATCTTTATATCAAAAATCTTGCTGTGTTGTATATGGTAACAACAACCAATTTCACGAGTCGCTGCACCGACAGATAAAATTGATTTCCAGGAAACTGTAAACTTCACTCAACTTTTAGATAATGACTTAAACAATCGATATGTTCTCTAGATATTACAACCTTCAAAGTAATAACATGAATTCCTAATTCAATGCTCTATAATACAACAATTTTCACTGGACTAAGATAATGCACGATATCGTTTGGGCAGTAATGTTATTCGTTGTTTTTCTTTCAGGTTTCGTTCATCTGAGTTCAAAACATTAAAAAGTAAAAAAAAAAGCAGCAGCATTAACCAGTTCAAGATATCAGAAACGTGACTGTTACACTGAAAGTTTAGCCATCGTTAACTGAAGGTTGCGAACTATTTTATAGAGCGGTATATTACATAACGATAAGTAAGTGAAGTAGCAGTATCCCAAGTTTTTCCATAGAAATAAGCGAACCTATGAGCAGACGGTAATCTCTTGCGACAGCTGTCGATTTAGATTTGATGACATCCGCATAGTGACATATATAATATTCATTCCCTTTATACAGCAAACAGCTTACTTCCTTGAAACTGGTTTATATAGTCACTTTTTCAGATAAACACTAGACAGCAAACGTCGTAAATCCCCATTACCAAGACGGACTTTACATAGGTTTCGAGTAACATTATGACCTTCATGTCTCAGTCAAAGAAATAAGATCTCGGTCTTACTCAGCTTTCATTGCAAGTCATGTAAATAGTATTAAGACAATATGGGTTCTCCAACAGATATTACAAATTTGGTTTCACGTGAATATGAACATAGATATGTTATAATGATTATTACAGTATGCCAGTAAACAAAATGTCCATTGGTGTAGCTCATATGTATATTATGGCACATAAAATATTTGTTGTGGCTAATAATTCATATCAAAACTCGGTCTTATGATATGTTCCAAATTACGTTTCCATTTTGTTTTGTTTTTCAGGTTAGAGTTTCTAAAGAAACTTGTATTTTCCCAGAAGCAGTTTGTTTTAATAGCTGTGGCAAACCCAGAA